CGGTCTGATGGAGCAAGAATAAAAGTCCAAAATGTCTTTAGCAGGTACATTGGCCCTTTTCAGGCAGACAATGAAGAACAAGCGTTTGTTGGCTTTATGGATACACTCGGTAATATGTTCATTCCATTTGAGATTATCCGAAATGGTAACTCCGAGGATCTTCGCGGAAGATACCACAGGAAGAACTTTTCCATCGATTGTAAGAGGAGAAAAATTATGATTGTTCTTTTTAAAATCAAAAATAATCTCCTTGCACTTGTCGGCGTTTAACTGCATGTTGTTCTTGGATGTCCAATTAGCAACGGTTGCCACCGCACTCTGAGCGGATCCGACATCGCCACGAGGCACAATCTCAGCTACGGTCGTATCGTCCACGTACTTCCAAGTCAGATAGGAGTCGACTTTTAGATCGTTAATCATRAGTATGAATAGCCAGGGCCCGAGCTTGGTACCCTGAGGTACGCCGGCAGGGACAGGCCCCCACTCAGATAGGCAATCGGATGAWAATTTGACACGCTGTTTCCGGTCGCAGAGGAAATCAATCACCCAATTGGAAACGCACCCAGGGATGTCTAGGTCAAGGATCTTCAGCATCAGTAGGTTATGATCTATTAAATCAAACGCTTTTCGGTAGTCGAAAAGTACAACCCTAACGGCCGCACCAGTACCGTCGGTAGCTTTGGACCAGTGGTGTATCATGGACGTTAAGGCGAAGAGGGTAGAGGATCTTGGGATACCACCGTATTGATTGGGGTMRACAACACTGAGAACAGCTGGACCAACGTGGGCTGACACGATAAAGTCCTCGGCAATCTTGGAGATGGCAGGTGTCAGAGAAATAGGGCGGAGATGTTTTGAAACGTCTTCGACTSGTTTCTGCTTGGGTAGTGGTACAACGTCAGCAAGTTTCCATGACAACGRTAGCGATTGTTCTTTAAAGCTACTGTTCAAAACTGAGGTGATTGGCAGGACAATAATTTCGGCGTAATCGCGTAGTAGCCAGTTAGGAACGCCGTCAGGAMCAGCAGCTTTCCGAGGATTGAGATTTTTGAGAGCCCTTAAAACCGCGGCCTCGGTGACAMTAAAGGACGTTTGATCTTCAAGATTGCGTGACGTCACGTCGAGGGGGGTAAAAGACTCCATAGGCTTAAGGAAGGCTGCGTTGATGGTGTTGGCTAGCTCGAGATCGTTAAGGTTGACACTCGAGCCCTCCAGATGCAGATCAGAGGACAAAACTTTTTGAGTCCGAGGCTGGGACCATTCCGGCGATGCGTTTGACCGCTGACCACCAATGACTAGGCTCTTAGACCGCTGACTTTAGACGCATAATATTTGCTGCGGAGCACTTTCCGTTTGCGATTAACCAAGTTGCGTAGGTGGCGAAAACGATCGGCTTCTTCATTGTTAAATGCTTCTTGACGAAGTTTGATGAGCAGTTTAAACTCGGCAGTGACCCAGGGTGGGTCGTTCGTGTGAACCTTGAAATGCTTTACTGGCATAATGGTGTCTAGACCGATGTTGATGRTATCTATCAGAAACWTGAGCTTGTCCTCACAAGATTCGGCGGCATCAACCAAAGACCAGTCGATACGAGAGAGATATCGACCTAKCTCTGATTTGCGACTGGCGCGCAGATCGCGTCTYGGGACTGAYTTCCTACTTGGGCCCGCTTTAGGTGGTCTAGCTTTGGGCCGAACGGTGACAACATTGTGGTCAGATAGGCYAAACGGTGGCAATGTATGTACAGAGTTGTTATCGTACAGTTGGGGCATGTTGGYCAACACCAGGTCTAAGATCTGGTCRCCTCTTGTTGGTTTGTTAACAATCTGCTTAAGTTTAAACTGAGAAGTAAAACGTCGGATATCCAATCTATTGAAGTCACCACATAACAGCAAACCGCAACCGGGATATGTTGCTTCAATGGACGTAAGAGAATCRCACAGGTAGTCAAGTAGAATGGAATCACTAACGCGGTCGTTAAMGTGTGGATGGTATACAGTTCCAGCAATTAAGCAGGGAAAACCGCGTGGGARTCTGGTAGGTCTAAGCCACACCCAGAGAACTTCGAGTGTGGGATCTTGTAAATGATCGAGACATTTGAACTTGATCGAGTTTTCGATGTACAGTCCCACTCCACCATGGAACCGTGGTCCGGTTCTGTTGCAAGAAATTGTATCCTGGGATGTTTATGTGGTCAGCGGGTATACTATCTCTGAGCCAYGTTTCCGTAAAAAAACCTAAATTAGGTTTCAATTCCAAAATGACTGACCGCACCTCGTCKATTTTGGGTTCCAAAGACATGGTGTTAGCGAGAATCAAACTCGGTCCATGACACTCGGTTGCGCTAGATCGAAAGGGCGTACCGACGTTACAAGAAATCCGAGAGAGCGGTTCCAAACAAGATCTCCTAGCTGTAGGAGGCTCCRAAAAATGAATTCCGTTGCGAGTGGCGCCATTGCGTGAAATTCTGACGGGTATGTTTACTTGTTCACAAGCGACGRGCSACTTGGGAAGGTGTTGCGTGACTGCGTCAGAGGTGTCGGCCTGAATATTTAATATGGTGGAGGTAGAATTATGCAAATGTTCAGAACCGATAGAAAGTTGACCAGTAACTGGCGAAATGGTAAATAAATCACTTGGGTTGGAAAAACTTGACTCACGAAGATGAAGCGGTGGAGTAAGTTCCTTGTGCCTTCCAGCTCTGCAGCCCCGCCGAGTTGGTTTGGTGTTAGATATCCCAAGTTTACATAATGTCCTCCATAACATCTGGTTGATGCGAGTTCCGACGGAACAATTAGATGAAAAAGCCCTCAAAGCACAGCCAGAATACCTCMCAACCATTCCAAAGCAATAATATGATGACAGAAAATCAAGCGAGACTGAAGGAGTGTACAGAAAGTACAAATTTTACGGAGCGCCAAAAAGTGCTGCCAGAAAGGCGCTCATGCGCTAAGTACCCCCTGCCTGCTATTTAATCTTTGTTTAGTTGAGTTCAGATGCTTATGAAACCTGACCTTCTTAGGAATTTAAAAAAAATCATCTAGAGATAAACTTTTGTAACCTATGTTAATAATTTGTTTAAAAATTGTTAACAAGATCTATCTGCTAGTGAACAGCTGGACACGAGAGCATAAAATCTGTATATTCAAGCTTCTCCTTATTACACAAGCTCTATTTTAACTGAATCAGTCATGCACGCATCCAGTGGGAGTTAATCTTAATAAAACTTGGTGTAAATCTCTAGAGATCACTTATCATTTTTCAGATTTCACACAAACCCAATGTGTGTGAATATAGTGCGGATATAGTTTTCGAAATTCAGCGTAACAAAGGTGGAAAAACATACTGACGCTTCTGACTTTAACCCTTCGTAAGTTTTTCACCTACATTTTTATACGGTTTTAAACATATCTTTTTACGGCAACTGATCCTTTAGAAACATCGACGCAGTTCACACTAGTTCACCGCTGTTCTCACCACCTCGAAATTGAATGTATTTTTCACATTTATATATTTTTTTTTCCTTTTCTTTTGCGGCAAAATCTTATTTTTACATTTGTTCAATGTTTTTTTTCTTCTTTATTTCTCTTTTTTTTGCATTGCTGATCCAAAAGTTTAAGTGTAACATGTTTGATTCTTTTCGTTCTCTTTTTATATCATCAGTATTAAAAAAAAACAGTAACTGAAATGGCAAATTGCTATCAATGCATCACAAAATAATAAGTGCGTTATAATAATAAAAGAGAAAAACCTCAAGCAAAACGTTTAATGTAAGTACACACAAGTACATGYTGCCTGCTATTTAGTCTTTGGATAGTTGAGGTCAGATGCTTATGAAATCTGACCTTATTAAGAATCTAAAAAAAATCGTCTAGAGATAAACTTTTCTAACCTATGTTAAAATTAAAAAAACTTGTTAACAAGATCTATCTGCTAGTGAACAGCTGGACACGAGAGCATAAAATCTGTATATTCAAGCACAGGGAGCACAGGCTCTTTATCAGTGGTTCTTATACCACCCCTCCCCTCTATATTTACCGTTATTTTGAAGAGTTTATGTGGTGTTATTGAATCGAGAATTTCTCGTTTGAATCTTAATAAATCGAAACAAAACTTAAACATGTTGTTATTGATGTATTTTGCAATCCTCTGACGAGGTTTCAGCCGATTTCCTTGAGTTTAAGTGCCTTTCTCCCCACCAAGCAAAGAAGAAGTAAAGGGAGGAGACGAACGCCATGAAACCGCCTCCAAACGGCTCTACTCGATATCAATTTGCTCTACGAAAAACGCTCCCAGACCAAAATCTCACTCGCAGGGATTCGAAGGGATAAATAGGCTACGCAATAATTCCAATAAAAGCCCACCGAAGACTTCTTGACGGCCGCCAGCCTCCGAAACGTTCTTCGAAACTCTCCTTAATTTTGAAAGAAATGTCCGTGACGCRCTGAAGTTGGGACACAGGAAGCCCAAGCTCATTACATAATTTATATGTGACTTCAACGGTAAAAATTTGGTGGGGGAAAGAAAATTYGAAAACCAGGTAAAATCGCTTCCTAACGGCTTCAAACTCCAGCAAATGATTAAAGACACAACAAGTTATCAAGTTAAGTCATTTTTATTCTTAAAAACACAAACTTAAAGAAATCATATAAATATTATGTCATGAGCTTGGGCTTCCTGTGTCCCAACTTCAGCGCGTCACGGACATTTCTTTCAAAATTAAGGAGAGTTTCGGAGAACGTTTCGGAGGCTGGCGGCCGTCAAGAAGTCTTCGGTGGGCTTTTATTGGAATTATTGCGTAGCCTATATATCCCTTCGAATTCCTGCGAGTAAGATTTTGGTCTGGGAGCGTTTTTCGTAGAGCAAATTGATATCGAGTAGAGCCGTTTGGAGGCGGTTTCATGGCGTTCGTCTCCTCCCTTTACTTCTTCTTTGCTTGGTGGGGAGAAAGGCACTTAAACTCAAGGAAATCGGCTGAAACCTCGTCAGAGGATTGCAAAATACATCAATAACAACATGTTTAAGTTTTGTTTCGATTTATTAAGATTCAAACGAGAAATTCTCGATTCAATAACACCACATAAACTCTTCAA